CAGAACGCGCAGCGATGCACAACAGGTGCAGGTGCCGGCTTCAGAGAGAGGTCTGGTGGCACACCAATGCTCGTAGCATGCTGGAACACAGCCTGCGTCCGCTGTCTGGCGTCTTCAATTCGACATACCCAACAGATATGAGGCTCGATCCGCGACTTCAATATATTAGCCCAGTGTTGTCCCCGTCCTAGCATCTCCTTCTCCCAAGGCCCGCATTCCGACAAACGACAAGACAATTCACGTAGCCTGGATACCCGATTGCGAAGCCTCCAAAGATCATCTAGGACCGTATTGAACCAGGAGTGCTTAGGTGCCGATGTGGCCCTAATAAGCCCAAAGAGGGACCCAGGAGCATGGCAGTACAGACGGCTTCAGGTAGCGCAAGCGGTGCCACCTTAGCATGATATTTACGTCACATTTCTGAGCAGTTGCCTTGATAGCTTGATCTGGATCCGCTCCATCATCATAGGCGGGCTTTCCCAGGGCAGAGCGGTATATCCGAATAGTGCCAGACCTGTGGCGTTTATATTGGGCATAGGAGGGTTGCGGCCACGTGGCCGCGTTGTAAAGCCTGCCTGGCATGTGCAACACGTCCGCGAGTTGCAGTTTGTGCTGCAGGGCGAATTGGGAGTTGGGGGAAACAACCTGTCGTGGAGCTTGCAGCGACGACGACGTCGACGAAACCCGATGCGCCAACTCGGGCGCCACATCTTGCTTGTCCGAAACCATCCGTCGCAGGTGTTGATACGCATGGACCGCCTCCAGAGTAAGCCCCTTGGGAAGCGTACAGGTAGATGGAATCGAAACTTTTCCCTCCTCCTCGATCCAGGACTTCTCGCGGGCCTTGACAGCCCCAGTTCCCCTGAAGGTTACGAGAAGGACAGTCTTGTTGGAGCCCACGTTGATCTTGAGGCCCGCAGGGGTGAAGGTGTCGGCGACGATCGTCATGAGGCATTGGGTCTTCTGAATGATGAAGCCTGCAGGGCTCCACGCATTGAACAGGATATCGTCGCTATACTCAACGTCATTAGTTGAGACCTTGGCGTCACGCTGTGCAAGAGGGCCCAGGGTCCCGGCCGAGGGGGCGTCCAGCTCCTGAAGAAGCCCAGCATCCTCACGACGGCCCCAGGTCCGCCGAGTACACCTGGAAACGGTAAACAAACACAGCCGGGTAGCAAGCGTGTTGCTTGGCGTGGTCCCCGTCGTCATTAATGGCAGAATGTCCTGACCCTTAGGTAGAGGCCCACGTCGCCCACGCCCCTGACAAGGTCTCAGCCAATACACGCCTCAGGTGCGCAGGAACCTCCAGTTCCTCTAAGCGCGGAGGCCGAGCAAGCTCGACAGCAAGTAGCCCCATGCAAGACGGTGGCAAGCCAGAAGCATGCAGCAGCTGAGCACTCAGTTCGTCGTTAATCTCCTCCCCCCCTTTAAATCGGATGAATATTTCGCGAATCGCATGGTGAAATGCCGCTTCGAGGTCCACGAATAGAGTCGACATCGATTCAGATCGCATACGTGACCGCTTATGCTTCAAACGAACCATGTGTACAGCACCATCTGTGCCACGCCCGCGTATGCCTCCACATTGAGACTCCAGTGCAGATGCATCAAGGAACGGCTGAAGTATGCTAGCAACCAGTGCATGAACACGCTTGCCGACTTGTGGTCCTATGGCCACAGATCTGATGCTGGAGCACTGGTTGGGTGTACCTCTAGCGGCTCAAGCGTTCTTTCACTCACCCAGTCCTGGCGACGAGGGTCGGCAGGGAAAAATGCTCACGTGCAAAATCTGCGAGGTAGGCATCCATTCGCGCGCAATGTGCAGTGGCCGACTCCGTCCATGTTGGCTCTGGAAAGGAGGCCACGTGAGCATCAAAAGCAACACGCACTTGAGGGTCTCGCAGCTGTTCAGCTTGCACACGCAGCTGAGGCCAGGGACACTATGAGATGTCGAGAGAGCCAGAGTGGAGCCCCACCGTGACATACGTGGGACTATGATCTTTTACTGCATGAGCAAGATCAATCTGCCTGTCTACCTGCGCAGAAGTCACTTTGCCCAGCCAATCCTGCGGCACAAGCACGTAGTCCAACCGCTTTCATGTCTTATCATTCGTGTGTACATGCGTATGATGTGTATCCCCAGGAGGAGCTGATAGAAAGGATGACGGCGCCACGACCTGAAAGCGATGGCAAACCGCTCGCAAGCACTCCTGAGAAATTCTCTTCCACAGCCTCCACATCACCAATCTAAGCAGGGCAAGTGGACCCCACTTCCGCGTTCGCATCGAACAGGAACACTGGGTGCACACCTGGAGCCAAGCATTCTCGCACGATCCTCTGGGTATCAAGTCACCATCTTAACAGGCGCAAGCTCCGTGCGTGCCGAGTGGGGAGCATGGGCAGCAACCAGTAACAAATGTAGGCCTGGCACGTGACATCGCAGCAGAAGCTTACTCGGGTCTGCATATTGCTGCCACGCATGCTGTTTGCCGGGTCGAGTGCCCTTGACAGGTAGCTCCGTATTAATCCAGATCGCCACACCGCCGGCGCCATTCTCAGAGCATTTGGAATAGTCCATAATGTAGTTACCGACCCGCCTGGGAAGGCCCGCCTGGAGCCTCGTTTCAAGCACCCCGAGGAAGTGGTACCGAGCGGCAGACAACTGCTTGGCCAGAAGCGCGATGCGTCCCGGGGAGTTCAGGCCGATAACCTTCGGGAGCCTGGCGGACCCACGGGTTCCACGTGACCCCTTCTTATATTTGTTGTTGCCTTGGAGGGTCAGGACATCGGCAATTCCAAATTTACAGTTGTTAAGGTCCTGGGAGTGGGCGTTATCAGCGATGCACTGGACCCCGATAACATCCTGGACTTGGAAGCCCTCCGAGGGCACCCCCTTGACCCTTAAGTCGTTAGAGTCTGTGATGCACGGCAGGCCATCGGCGCTCTCCACGTAAAGCCAGGCCCATGCAAGCGCAGATGAGTCGAAAAGCAGCGCGGCAAACGGCATGCATTCCATACCAGGCATCAGTCCCATGCCAGTGAGACGGGCGATGGCGCCGGCCAACTCATTATACCCTTCCCCTGGTGATTGCGAACATGCTCCCCATCAATGGTACACATAACCGACAGAAATTTAACCATGGACCAGAGAAACAGGAGTCCAGAATTGGAAACCTCAAAATCTTGCGACCCCATCAGGACCCCAATAGTTGGCCTAGAGTCGAGCCTGAGGGTAATAGGCACATTGCCTAGGTTGGCCTGCGCAATCTATGCCAGGGCCCACGCTGCATCCAGATCTCTGCCGTGTAAGAGTGGTAGGACGAAGGGAAGAGACCCATCGCATCCTCAGGGACAAGATCAGAGATAATACCTCGCAACTCTCTGGAGCCATCGAAGTACTCATACACAATCACGACGGCGGATGCGGGAACGAATGCAATATCCGATCTCTCAGCACCACCCGCTCCATCAGTATAGACAAGAACACGCGAGGGAAAGAGGAGGGGGAGGAGTGGGACATGCTTCTGCAGCACCGCGGAGGTTGCTGGATGAACATGCTCTGAGAGAGCACTCTCGCACAACGTGTGGATTTGAAAAGGCCATGGCCGTCGCAGCAATGTAAGAGCTTCTTGTACGGAACAATTCGGAAAGTCACGAAATGTGTGCGGCCGCTGCTTGGGCTCCGGGGGCCATCACTGCCTTCGGCGCTTTGGCGGCGCACCGGGCTCCCCGCTCGCAGGCCCAGCCACAGCAGCTAGCGCAGCCTCTGGTGGCTTCTTGGCCTCGGACTCGGCCTGGATCAGGGCCTTCAGCTCCGTGATGGTCTGGTTCATGTGGTCGAGGTCGCGCTTGGCCACATCTACGTCCACTATCGCCTGCTTCACTTGGGTCTGCAGTTAAATCAGCACATCTTCTGTCTTCTGGAGGCGACGCTCTGCTCTCTCTCTCTCTCTCGAGTTTCTTCTTGCTTGCCAAGCCGAGACTTAAGGACCCTCGCACTGAACAGCATGGTCAGCGTCGTCGCGAACTCCAATACTGCATCTTTGTACTGCTCTCCAGCATCGTACCTGTCGAAGATGATCGTATTCAAGGCCTCCAGCCGTGCCGAGACCTGCTCCTTGTAGCACTCCACCTCGCTGTCGGTTGCCTGCGTCCCAGGCGGAGCACGCCATCGAGGATGTTGCCGTGCAACTTGAGGTAGTGCAGGGCGTATGTGCAGCAACTCCTTGGCTGACCTCTTGTCGCCCATGTTGTAATTACACATCCTGCGTCTTCGAATCGTGATTCTTGTCCTTGGTAGCCGATGAGCCACCAGCAGCATTCGACTCGATGTTCTTGTCCTTGTTGTCCTTGTCCTTGATGGTCAGAGCACCCTTCAACACTGGCTTGCCCTTGCCCTTGCCACGGGCACTCTCTGGCGGCGCACTGCCTGATCGACAAGGAGTACGGCGCCAGGGAGGGGCTTCTGGCTGCGGCGAGCCACACTGTCGACAGTCGACTCGTTCGTGCCAGTTCTTGCTGGAGCATGTGCCACAGGACCGACTGCGGCCCCGATGGTGGTGCTTGGACCTTCTCGTTGTCTGCTGTGATGCCGTTGTAGCAGTCGTCGTGCCGCCTCCACTTGGAGGAGGACTCTGGCACGGGAGCGCTCCGCTCCCCTCCTGTTCCGCGATGGCTCGAGAGCTCGGCCTACGTGGCGGTGGGGACTGTCACGGCCACGGCGCAGCGCTATGGCGGGTTGCACGCTCGCAGCGCGTATAGCAGCTGTCCTGGTGGTGAGGGTCCGCTACCTGGTAGCACCCAAGACCCTCGAACCGGGTCTGCGGCTGAAGGGAGTGGAGGAGGAAGAGGCCGGAGCAGGAAGAGGGAGGAGGCAGGGGGGAGGACGACAACATAGGATGCCGGAGGCGGTGGGGCAGGCGCCCGGCTGCGGGGGGCAGGGGGGCGGGAGGGCAGCGGGCCGCTTGCAGAGGGTGCCGACGGTTTGCTTGCCTCCGCAGGAGACGCAGCAGGTCAAGGTGCAGCTCAAGGCGCAGGAGATGCAGCAGGCAGCGATGGACAGGACGCGATCTGTTTTCGCCCGTGGGGCGGGTGTTCCCAGACGGTAGGTTCGGCAAAAGAGGTTCATAACGTGCAGGAAAAGAAGGGGAGCCCGCAAGGGCTCATATGAATTAAGCCGATTGCCAATAGGAAGGGAGGGAGTAATTCGCAGTGACAGCGTTATAACAACCATGATTTCACTTAACAAGGGGAATAATCCGAACACAATGCTCCTGCTACTCGCCCTCTTCCTCCTCCTAAGCCCGAAAGGATCCCACGACACACAATCCTGATCAAGCTTATTGGCGGACCTCCTCGAATTTCAGTGGTGGGAGAGGCCTACATCCCAGCCAAGTTTCACCGCCTTTGTTTCTTCTAACGTGCAATGAAGAATCGCATTGTGGGGCGCGTCATCACCATCACCACAACCACCATCATCCTTCGGCTTGGCACCGCTCGGGCGTTTGCACTGCTCTTTCTCGGCGAGGGCCATCCAGGAGCATCGTCGATGGGTCATCTGGCCGAAAAAATCACGCACGGCACCGAAGCATGCACGTGGAATGGACGTCCGAGCGATGGCAAGATCACCACCACTGCCACCACTGCCAGCCCTCGGGGGCGGGGGACCGCTCGAGAAGCAGGGGCGCGCGGCGGGTCCGCGCCAGACGATGGGGAGCGCGCGTGGCGTTGCGTGCCCGTCCGCCCGCGTGGCAGGAAGGGAGGCTGAGGCTGGGCCTCGATCCGGTCGAGAGCCCTGCCTGGGCGCGGGTCTTGAGCGCAGCCGCCTTGTCCGCGGCCTCGCTCGTTCTGCTCCTTCCTCCTGCCTCCCCTTTTGTGCCTCCTCCTCCTCTTTCCCCTGCTCCTCTTTCCCCTGCTCCCCCATGCTGGAGTCCTCTCGGGCGTCTCTGTGGGCCCTCTTTGGGCCCGTTGAGGGTCTCGCTGCCGTTGTGGGCGCGTTGGTTCCACGAGCTCCCCCGAAGAGGATCGGTTGAACTGTCTCGGGGAAGTCTGGGCGGGTCGTGTGGCCATCTTGACTTGGAGCCGCTTTGGGCCGGCTTGGGGGTTCTCGGGCAGTCTTGGTGCCTTTTTAGAGCTCTCGGGGCCGCCTTCGGGGTTGTGTCCCTGACGCTTTCCCGAGGCGAGCTGCAGTCGAAGAGCCTCAGAACACACAAACATGTGTTTCGTTCTTGATTCAGTGAGTCTTCCCCTCTGCGGGCTTCGCTGGAGGCCTGGTTGGGCGTCTCTCGGGAACCTTCTTTGGACATGTTGGGGTATATCGTAGCCCCAGGGCTCTGATGGGCCAGGGTACATCAGCAGCAGCCGCGTACGAGAACTGGGCAGGCGAAGCGAAACGGCACAGGTGAGAAGCGCGGAGAGAAGTCGGACAGCGGCGAAAGGCTGCAGTTAGGAGCGGGGACGGACAAGCTCTAACCACGAAGCAGCCTGATTTCTCCCTCCCCCACTTCAGCATTCCGTTTCAGGCGTCGGGCATGTATTTAAGCACGTTCGGATGTTCGTTGCGGGATTTTGTCGCAACGGGTGGCACGGCGAGATTGCGTCTTGCGATGCCAACGATGATGTGCCCCCCTTCCCCAGGCAGCAGATGCGGGTGCACCAGGAGACCAAGAAGCTCGTCCAGAAGATCGACGAGCAGACCAGCGAGCACACCACTAGCGACCGAGTGGAGGGAGGGAGGGAGACGGAGGGGAGAGAAGGGGTGCGGCGGCTGAGTGGGGGATGGGGAGGATAGTGGGAGGCTGAAGAGAAAGCTGATTCTCAGCCCCAGTCCTCCTCCGTCCTCCTTCATCCGTCTTGCTTCCCGCCAGCCTCCTGTCTTGCCCCCTGCCTCAACCTCCTCCTCCTCCTCCTCCTCCTCCTCCTCCTCGTCTTCCTTCTCCTCTCTCTGACTGAGGACAGCAGGAAGAAGCCGGGCGAAATGGCTGCAAGACCATTTTGGTGGCATGGGAGGGAAGAGTAGAGGTGATGGGGAAACATAAGCATTAGGAGGAGTAAGAGGGGGAGGGGGAGGAGGGCGGAGGGGAAGGGAATGGGGTGGGGAAGATGAGCAGGATGAAAGGGACGAGGAGTGGGAAAGATGAGGACGCGAGGGCGGGAGGGCGAGGTCGTGCGGGGGGGACAGGAGAACAACAGCAAGAAACGCATCAAGAAGATTCAGGAGGAGACCAGACCGCCGCTCCCCCTGGCACTCGTTCGGCGAGCCTGAGAGGACATGATGTTTTCCTCCTCGTCATCCGTTTCCCCCAGTGTCTTAGCGTTCCATAATTACGATAAGATCAAAGCGACGCGTGTGCAAGGCACTGCAGCGAACGCTTCTCAGTTGCAAGCCACCCTCGCCGCTGCCAAGCATGCTGTAGGTTGCTAGGCCAGTGGGATACAGGCTGCGCAGTTACGGTCGGTCGGCTTCCCCCGCGTCGCCTCCCTCCCCCATCTGACGAGATTTTAGACCACAGGGGGGAACGGAAGAGGGGGATGGCCAGTCATCTCACGGTCTGTTGTCTGGTCGGCAAGAGCGGACCACGATGCGTCGGCGTTTTCTCGGGGCCGCGGCCAAATTCTATTGTGCACCAGAAGGGTTGTGAAAATAACAAGCGGTTGTGGAAGAGGGGGTCAGACAAGGGGCACTCTGCAGAACATGCCTATCATCTCACACGCCTTCTCACCCCTCGCCGGATTGCTCCTCCACGACCAGTAAGATTACCTCCGCACGATCACTACAACCTGCTGTTGGTTGCGCCATAGGTTGTGATCGTGTACGGAGTGCTTGTTTGGGATGGCGCTCGCAGTATAACAACAATTCCGTCTTCTCTTCGGCCCCTTATACTTGCCTGTCCTGAGTTATACCGTGCGTGACTTCGTTGCATCGCGGTGTCACTTTGTTTCTTTGTTGGTGCCGGTAGTGCGAGCCGTGCGGGCGACGAGTCCATGCTGGGCACTCCCAGAGTCGTTTGGTGCGCGCGGGCTTATGTCCCCCTCTCCTCGTCCTCCTCCCGTCTATTGTCTTTTCTCCTCCTCCTCCTCCTGCTCCTCCTTTGCCTCCGCTGCGTCCGTCGTGTTGTTTGTTTTAATAACCCACTGCGACCCTACCTAGAAGTTGGAGCCCCTAGGAAAGCCGCATTAGTAGTAACAGTAAAGCTAAGCTAAAGCTAAGCTAAAGCTAAGCTGAAGCTGAGCTGAAGCTAAGCTAAAGCTAAGCTGAAGCTAAGCTAAAGCTAAGCTAAAGCTAAGCTGAAGCTAAGCTGAAGCTAAGCTAGAGCTAAGGTAAAGGTAAGCTAAAGCTAAGCTGAAGGTAAGCTAAAGCTAAACCAAGCTAAGCTAGGCTAAGCCAAGCTAAGCTAAGCCAAGCTAAGCTAAGCTAAGTTTAGATGAGATGCGCTAAGCTAAGCTAAGCTAGGCTAGGCTAGATAAAGCTAAGCTAAGATATGATAAGCTAAGCTAAGCTTAGCTTAGCTAGGCTAAGCTGGGTGAACCCAGGGGGCGCAACTGGGGGAACCGCGAGGCGGATGCCGGGGGACCCGCCCGGGGCGAGTTGCATTGCCCGGCCCCTTTCAGCAAAGAGAGTAAGAACCCTTCTAGGCAGAGCCTAGGTAGGGATTATACATATACATATATATATATATATATATGTGAGGCATCGGGGAGACCCACACACCTTGACAGTCCGTTCTCCCTTCTCTTCACAAGGATATCTATCCTATTCCTTCGTGTTCCTTCTTCTTCCCCCCTCCTGCCGCAATTGCACTGTCAATTTGTCGTTCAAGCTATGGTTCATAGTGCGAGTTTGCCTATTGCAGGTCGGCTTGCAGGGTGTCCCTACTTCAAGGCAACATTTGGATTCGCAACGTGGTTGTATCACATGTAGTGTTCTGTGTGAAGACAGGGTTTCGACCGCCGAACATAAAACGGCAGGCTAACGGTGGCGACCAGACTAGTCAGTCAGTGAGCCAACCTCGCGAAAAACAAATTCGGGGTACGCCCGAAAAGAGCCCAGGGCGCGAACGCCGCGCGAACGATGGGGTCGAGTGTCTCTGGAGACCTCCAACAGCGATGCCAGAAACCAGGGCCCAGGTCAAAGCAGGCTCTTGCCGTGTTCGAGCTGCTGCATGTCTTTGCTGGCATTGACCGGTCCCGCAGGTGTCGAGAGTTCGGGGGCTTCGGTGATGCGAGAAGTGCGGGGCTATGGGCACTGAGCTGGGTGGTGAAAGCTTCCGCGCAAGCGCAATCCAAGCTATACAGGCATGCTGGTGTGACTGGGGGTGCCGGGCCTCCTCAGGTGATCCGCAGGGCTGCCATGGCATCCGGGCTGCGCGGCACGGTCTGCGCAGGGCCGGGCACGCCCTGTGCCGCAGAGATGTTCGCACGGCCAACCAGCCACGCGGTGGCGCGAAAGCGTGAAGCTGATCGCGCAGTGCGGTGCGAGAAGTTCTTGTTGGCGGCGAGCCTTGGGGGGAGGCGGGAAGGGGCGGGCCTTCTCAGAAGGCTCGGAAGTCCCCCAGTCTTCTGGAAAGTTTCCGTAGATTTCCCGAGGACGCAGAACATTTCTCAGAAGGCGCGATTGCTTCTGAGAAGTCCCGCCTCCTTCTGAGAAGGTCTTCTCCTTTTCACCTTCCTCTTTCGCTCGCCGCCGATCTTGCGGCGACCCAGGCGCTGCCTTGGCGGCGGAGGGCCCCCGGGCGCTGGGGGCCAGCCTTCCGACGGCCTCGGTGCCCTCAGGGGTAACGTCAGGGTGGGGAGCAGGCTCACGGGGCGGCGCATCGACCCCCAGTGGCCCATTCGTCGCTCGCCGACTGGGGCACGACAGCGCACGCCGCCCAGGAGCGTGCGTTCCCGCCATCGAGAGGTCACCGCCGAACCATCGGCGCTGTATCGTCCCCACTCTGACTCGATGTTTCCCCCTCCCCCTGGGCTGCCCCCCCGATCGTTCCCCCTCGGCGCCCTCTTGCGCCCTGCCCCCCCTCCTCTCCCTCCGTCCTCCATCCCCCGATCGAGCAGTACGATCGACATGGGTACGTAAAGAATGGGCACGAAGACCGACAGCAGTTCCTTCTAAATGTTGAACGAGAGTCGCTGTCGGGGTCGCCGCGGACGTTGTCCATTGATGGCAAAACGTCGCCTGCCCAACAGCGGCCGCTGTCGATGTTGGGAAATATCTGCTGTTGGGCATCGTTCCACCTGTTTCTCCGTACCCATTCCGGGCGTGCCAATTCGACATTCCTCTCCTCTCCCTTCCCCCGCGCACCCCGCGGGGGGAGGATAGGAAGCGAGAGTTGGAGGGGAGAGTGGGGGAAGATGCCGAGGAGCAGGTAGGAGCCTCTGAAGACTCTGCCTGATCGCGCACCGACCTGGTAACCTTCGCCAGCACTCACTGGAGGTGTTCCTGCGCGTTGCTCAGCTTTGCTGATAATTTTGGGCCACAGCCCCAAAAGTATCACGACTTAGATATTCCCACCCCGTGGCGGTTGGGGGTCCACAAAGTGGTGCTGGCTTCCAAATCTTAGCCGAGGTGAGCCTCACCCCCCCCCCAGTGGGGGCCGGGGCCCACCCTCGGGCCCCATTCGCGCGCGCACGCCTTCCGCCACAGACGGCTCTCCTTGTTTCTCACCCTTTACGTCGTTCCGAGGTCCGTCTTCCTTTTTTGTCTTGTTCTCCCTCTCCATCTCTCTTTCCTTTACGGCCGGACCGAGGTATAAGATCGAGGTCGGTTCGGGGAGGGCACCCTGATGTTCTTCTTTGATGCCGCATGCTATTGTGCATCCTGGGGAGGGTACCCTGTTCTGTGTGTTTTGGCCAGCGGTCCTCCCCCCAGCACCAGTTGCGAGGAAGGATATCGAGGGCATCGGGACGTTCGCTCGACAATGTCCGCAGCTCGAAGTTCGAAGGGGGAGGAGGGAGGAGGGGGGTGGAGGGAGGACGGAGGATGGGGAGGATGAGGGATGGTGTGGCGAAGGGGGAGGGATCGGGCGGAGGAGGAGAATCAAGGATAATGGGGAGAAGGAAGAGGAGGAGGAGGAGGAGGAGGAGGAGGAGGAGGAGGAGGAGGAGGAGGCAGGAGAGGAGGAGGAGGAGGAGGAGGAGGAGGAGGAGGAGGAGGGGGAGGAGAGGAGGAGGAGGAGGAAGACGAGGAAGAGGAGGAAGGAAGAGGACGAGGACGTGGACGAAGAGAGGAAGGAGGGGGCAGAACCAGGAGGAGGAGGAGGAGGAGGAGGAGGAGGAGGAGGAGGCGGGGGGACAGGGGACGGAGGATGCGAAAACGGATCAGGAGGAGGAGGAGGGCGGGTGAGGAAAAAAGGGGGGTGGGTGAGGATTGTGAGGAGCAGCAGCAGCAGCAGCAGCAGCAGCAGCAGCAGCAGCAGCAGCAGCAGGGGAAGGGCCACTCCCTCTTCCCTCTGATCCTCCCCCTCGTCCTCCCCCTCGTCCTCCTGATCTTCCCCCCCTTTCCTCTCCCCCTTTTCGGCGGCGGGCGTTGCGGAGACCCCACGCGCCCAGGGCCGGGGGACCTGCAAGGCGCGGGGCCGCGCGGGGCATCACAGCACAGCGCGTTCCGAACAAGTTCCTCCGGGAGTGCCTGTCCGGGATGGCGGGGGCGCCTGCTGGCGCGCGGGCACGTGATGTTTCTTGCTCGTGGGTGACCTGCGCTGCGCCGGCGGCAGCGTGGCGGACTTTGCTGGGCTGGCCGTGCGCCGCACCGTGCAGCTCTCCATGGTGCCCGAAGAGGGGGCTCCGCGCTGGGCATCGGCGATCGCGGCTGCCGCCCGTATAGCCCGTCAAACTAAACCTTCCTTCGCTTCCTCTCACGTGCTCTGCTTTCGGCATCACTCGATCGGTCATGCTCCGGCATTCACATTAAAAAGGTGTGTCTCCCGATATCAAGTCATTGGATTCTTACATACCTTCGCAGTGTACCCTCGCATTCTTCCGTTTGCGCGCACTAGCCTTTTATTAACGTCTTGTCATCGGTAATACAGCGCCGGTGCAGCGTTGATCCGGGCAGATCTAGCGTCGACTGGCGTCGATCCAGAAAACGATGGTATGGGAGGCTCCCATGGCGTACGCAAGAGGGCTTGATCCAGACGGGATCTGATGTGCTCTGTCTTGGAGGGTTCCGCGGGGTTTGGGCAAAAAGGCCGCCATGTGATGGTATGGTTCAAGGAGGTCAAAAAGTCCGTCTGGGAGGGTTGTGGCCCCCTCTCTTGTATTTAATCGCTTCGCTCATTCCGCCGGCCCTGGAGCGCTACTTGGGGCCTCTTGGGGCCGTCTTGGGGGCTTCTTGGGAGCTTCTTGGGAGCGTCTTGGGGCTCCTTGGCGGCGTATTGGGCTCCCCTGGGGCCTCTTGGGGAGCTCTTGGGGGCCCCTTGGGGCGGGAGGGGGTGTAGTCGTGGGCAGCCCCCCCCTCGGAGGCCACGATCCTCGTGAGGGGTGGCGAAAAATAGCCTCCCCCCTCATGGGGATCGCCCGGGGATCAGCCTGAGATCGTCCGGGGTACTTTTCGTCTGGGGCCCCCCAGGGGCCGCCCCGCGCGCGCGAACTAGAAATTGAAATATTGTTAAGTAGTTACCGGAGATCTTAGCACGCCTCTGGCCCGTTGGGCCGGCGAATTACGAAGACCGGAGTCGGCTCCCGAGGGGCGACGCGCGCGCTCAGAATTTTCATAGTGTGTGCTCGGTTGCGGGCGCTTCCTGGCCAAACCGCCTGTGTAAGACGTTCGTGCTACATGTTCGGTTTTGACATGCGCCTCCACTGGGAACACATATTGCTGGCATGTCCGTGTGCGTCCCATTTTTGTCTGCCTTTTTTTCCCCCTGCTCCTTCTTGACCAGACTACGTCTTGCATTGGCCACTGCAGCTGCAGCCGCAGCTGCAGCTCCAGTGCTGCAGCTACGGTTGCAGCAGGTCCTATGCAGCTGCTTGGATGCACCGGTGGTGATATATATATATGATATATATATATATATATATATATAGTATATATATATATATATATATATATATATATATATCCCCGTGCACGACGCCCAGGCGCCCAGGGCGGCTGCCCCGAGGGGGCATGGGAGTACCGGGGCTCATTTTCCCTGTGTTTTTACAGGGCTTCCGCGTCCTGGGCCTCCGAGGCCGCCGCCTCCGACCCCCTTGTGGGAGGACGGGGCGGCCGGGGAGGTCCAAAATAGTCCAGGAGGGCCTCCAGAGGCTCCCAAGACGGCCCAAGCGGGCCCCGAGTCGCCGAAAGACCGCTCCAGGACGCCCAAGATAGGCCCAAGACGGCCCGAGAGGCCCCCCAAGGCACTCCACGACGCTTCAAGACGCCTCTCCAGAGCGCTGCAAGAGGCCGAAATCGTCAATTTCACGAAGGTTTTGGAACGATTTTGGCCTTCCAGCCTTTTCGGCTGTCCGACGTTCCAAGACGGCTCAATAGGGCCCCAAGACGGCCCCAGAGTCGCCCAAGACAGCCCAACAGATCCCCAAGACGGCCCCAAGATGCGCCCAAGAGGGGGACCACGACTCCAAAATTCGACCCTCCCGCTTGAAGAGTGCCCCAGGAGGCCCCAAGGAGCCCAAAAGAAGCCCCAGGAGGCCCCCAAGAGGCCCCCAGGAGGCCCAAACGAGGCCTAAGGAGGCAACAAAACAGCCCCGAGGAGGCCCCACAACGGTCCCAAAACGGCTACCGAGAAGCTGCGAAATTGCTTTCATGACGTCCCCGACAGGCCAACCACGAGATCCAAACCAACACCCATGAGGCCTCTGACCCACCACCCAGGGCACTGTGGCGGGAGCAGTGACAGCACTTGTGCACAGCATGTTTCGGCGGGAGCCTTCCGGAACACGCTGCAGGAGGAGGAGGAGGAATATCAGGAGGAGAGAGAGCTGGAGTGGGAGGAGGAGGAGGAGGGGGACGAGGAGGAGGAAGAGGCCTCCAAGACAGCTCCAAGATAGCCGAAGAGGCTTCCAAGAGGGCCCTGGGCGGCCCACGATGGCCCCAAGGCGGTGCCTGAGGCGCCCAAGAAGGCCCGAGAGGGCCCCAAGACGGCCCCAAGAGAGGCCCAAGAAGGGAAACACGGACTGAGAATCACAGCTTTCTACCCCGAGAGGTTCTCGGGAAGTCCCAAGAGGCGCCCAATCGGATCCAAGAGGCCCCCAAGAAGCTCCCAAGGCCCCAAGAGGCACAACTCATTGTTTTACGATTGGGCTTTGACGGGTTTTAATTTTTGTCGGCCTTTTGGCATCCCGATGCTCCAAGACGGCCCAAGAGGCTTCCAATACCGCTCCAATATAGAGGAAGAGGCCTCCAAGAGGGCCCCAAGACGGCCCGCGAGGGCCCCAAGACGGTGCTTGAGGCGCCCAAGACGGACCGACAGGGCCCCAAGAGCCCCAAGAGAGGCCCAAGAAGGGGAACGCGACCCAACAGCAGAGCGTTCCCCCCAAAATGCCCACAGGAGGCCGCAAGAGGACCCCCAAAGCTTCCCGAGGGCCCAAAAGGCCCTTAGGAGACGTCCAAGAGGTTTTATAATAGCCCAAGAGTGCCCTCGATGCGTCAAAACTGCTTCCAGGAGGCCCCCGGGAAGCTTCCGGATTGCCTCAATCTGACTCAATCTGGCCGCAGGTGGCCTCAAGTCGGGCCTCCACGCAGCCAAGACGGCCAATGACGGCTTCAGATTGCAGAACCGATGCCCCCAAGGGGCCCTCAGACGCCCCCCCAAGAGGTGCCTCCAACAGCCAGTTGACGAAGCATGCGGAACACCCCAGACGCTCCTCAGATGCCATCGCGCGCCTGTGCTTGATATCGTTGTCCAAGATCGTCCAGCGCCCCCTCGGTCTGGGCTAGAACCTGGGCGCGCGCGAAGCGCGCGCGATGGTTCTAGCTGGGTAGTCGAAGGCCAGACTGTCAGATTGGATTGGGCCCCAAGGGCCAATCTGGCCTGGCCAAACTGGATGATTCGGGTTATTCGCCAGACTGGCTTCGCGTTGGCTCCCTCGCCAGATTGCCCCCGTTTGCCAGATTGGGCCTGCCAGATTGGCGCCAGATTGGCTTCGACTACCCAGTCTAGTATATGTATACATACATATATATATATATGTATACATACATATACATATATATATATATATATATACACAAAAATAGATCGCACTCGCCGCACCTCGCTGCGGCATGCGCGCTTGGAGGCTACATGCTGGAGCGCCGACCACACATTTGCAACATTTTCCGCGCGAGAGGCTTGGGATCCAGCCTGACATGCGCCCACTTCTTCCCCCAGAGTTCCTCGTCATCGTCCCCCTTTCTCATGCCCCCGTCCTTGAATCTTGCCCCTCCTCCCGCTCCGCTCTTCCCCTCCTCACTCATCCTCATTTCTCCGGGAAGGGGGAGCAGGAAGAGAGAAAAGGGAGCAGGGATGAGGAGGAGGAGGCGGAGGATGATGAGGAGCACGGGAAGGAAGTAAAAGGAGCAGAGAGACGGCGGACGAGGAGAAGGTGGAGGGGAATGATCCTTTCGGAGGCAGGGGTCGGACGGAACCCGCGCGCAGGAGATCTCTCAGAAGGAGGTCGAGAACCAAAACTTGTACAACGAGATCGCGCGGGTGACCGTGGACAGCCTCAACACGAAGGCGCACAACCAGATGCTTAAGGATCGCTCGTCGTGCACGATGCCACCTCCCCCATCCCACGCTGCTCGAGCTCCGGGCCCGCGGGCGTGACGTCTCTCTCTCTCTCTCTTGTTTCTCTCTCTCTCTCGCTATGTCTGTCTGTTTTCCCCCCCCTCTCTCTCTCTTTCTCACTCTCTCTCCCTCTCTCTCTCTCTCTATTTTTTCGGGGGTCGGAGGTCACCCAAGTCTCACAGCACAGCTACTCGTTCAGCACGAGCGTGCACTGCGGCAGCCAAAACAACAGCGGGGCCAAATCCATCGGCAACGGCCGACGATGCGTCCACCTTTGTTCATCGCGGGTCGGCGGGCTATTGCATGCGTGTGGCCTTCTGCCCGTGCCGCTCGCAGGGAGGCCCTGTCGGCCTGAGTCTCGAGCACTATAGGTTCAAGTGGCGAGCAATGCGTTACAATGCACTCCGCGCAGCGCGGCCGGCGGCGATCCGAAAGGTGAGCTATACAGCGCAATCGCGTCTGAAACTGGGTGCCGCAGCACGGACAGACACACGAGCCGTCCACGTAAGCCTTGATGGCAAGCCGGTGGCCACGCTTGGCCCTGCAGTGGCTCGCCAGCGCCCGCTCGGTGGGGAAGCATGCGCTGCACGCTGTACATTTGAAAGAGAGCGCGGCCGCTCGCTGTGGGAGCGGCTACTGCGAGTGCCTGGCGGTCGAGAACAGACTCGGCGAACAAAAAACTGGTCGAGGACGCGACTCCACCTCGCTGGAGACTGCAGGAGGAGGCCGAGTCAACGCTTTTTGTCACAGTGCAGGAAAGCAAAGCCGGGCAGCAGGCCCATGGCACGCAGATTTTCAGTGTCTACCCGTAGCAGCGTCAACCAAGGTACCTCGGGCGAGTCGGTGTTGGCAAACAGCAAGGCTAACAACACCTTGGGCTGGTTCCGCACTAGTCGCGCGAAGTATCGCAGGCGGGCGGACTGCAGCACGCAGTCTATGGAGGGCATGCCGAGCAGCTTCCTGACCTCCACGTCCGTCATCTTGACGTCCTGGGAGTCTCGCGGGTCGCCGGCGATGCGCCTCAAGACGCGCATATATACGCTGTTGAATCGCTTCAGTGCCTTCGGGCTCGGCACGCGCACGTGCATGTTGAACAGGAGCCTGGACTGGACAAGGCTCCGCATGAAGGCGAACGTGTACGAGTTCGCTATAAACTTCGAGCCGAAAACCTTGAACGCCAGAGGCGCGAAGGCCGACAGCGCATATTGGGAGCGGTGGGCGACGTTGCGGAAAACCATGCCCTCCGCAGACAGGTACGTGCCGAGGTGCTTATACGCATCGACGATGTGGAGCAATTTGTCGGTGCTCGGGACCAGCATGGCCAGCGAGCCATCAGGATGGCGCCACTTCTCTGTGACGCAGGTGGCATGGGAGCCACGCAATAAGATCAAGCCTTCTGTTTCGCCTCTGTTCAAATTGATGTCCAAGTGGAAGGCGGCGAAAACGTCGGTGAGAGCGGAGAGCAGCACCGCCACGGCGCGAGCCAGCGTGCCGGGGGTCGACGCCATCAGGATGAGGGCCTCGTCGTCCACGAAAGTGGCTTCCACTACCTGCTGCTCGTCATCGGCCTCGCCAGTGGACGGCTCGGAGGCGTCGTCGCTCCAGAACGCCCCCGGGGCGGACGGGATGCGCAAGATGAGGTCCTCTTGGGCGAGCCTCCAGCGGAGCATGTCGAGAGGGGGCGCGTAGGTGGAGTTGAACACGAGGGGCCCCAACTTGCAACCCTGGCGCCCGCCGGTGAGCGACGAAATGGCTCGCCGTCCTCCTGGGAGTTGGAACAGCGCCTTGTCATGGAGCGTCCGGGCCATCTTGGCCGCGGATACATCTGCCCCCAATTGCCTAAGCAGGTGGCCCCTCTCGTCAATGTACCGCGTCAGCCACTCCACCGCCGTCGGGGCAACGCCGAGGGAGGCGAGGAAAGCGGGCCTCTCGGTGATGTTCACGTCGCCTCATCCAAGGACAAGCTGCCGTATCACCTTGTCGTAGGTCTTGACCAAATCCACGAAGAGGAGGAAGATGGAAGCCTGTAGCGCTTGGCGAGCTCGATGGCAGTCAGGACGAACTGCGGTTCAGGGAGGTGGTTTTTGACGGTGGGCTCTAAAGCGTCCTTGATGATGCCTGTGAGGGCCTCGCCGGCATGTTCGGCGAGCAGGATGCCGCGGCTGTCGTCGCAGACCCTGGCATCGCCCTTCTGCTTGCAGATTCGGGTCATCAGGCCGCCGCGCCACTGCGTTGGCCACTGGTAGGTCCGCAACACGTGCTGGTTGACGCAAGAATGCAAGAACGCCGCTGGTTCTCCGCCGGCCGCCGGGCACCAGCACCTCGGCGGGGACGCTGTCGCCCCCAACGCCCTTGTTGCGGCCTAGATGCGTGAAGGCTGCAGCAGTGGCCTGGGCGCCGACGTCCATGAGCAGCGGGTCGGCGTGTGGGCCGGCAGCAGGGGCTCGCAGGTCGGCGGTCGCAGTGAAACGCCCCTGGAATTCGTCGCGGAAATTTCTGCCCGACCTGGCCGCCTCCTCCTCGGGGGACGTGGTCGAGGAAGCATCTAAGCGGAAGACCTCCGAATTTGAGTCGGTCCGGGAGGCACCCAAGGCTCGCGCCACAGCGAATTGGGTGTACATGTCGCCCGCAGCGGCAGCGTTGTGGGCCTTGATCGCCATGTCGTCGAGGAAGGCTTTGCGGTCCGCCTGCAAGGACGGATTGGCCATGCGCTGCACGTTGAGCATGGTGGCTAAGTGCAGCGACTCCTGCTTGTGGGCGCGGCCAGATGTGTTCAAGTCGTCGAGCGCAGTACCGCAGGCGCGAAATACTGTCGGGCCGCGGCGCGTCGCCGCTAGCCAAGCATCAAAGGCTGCGCGATGGGGCCACTGGAATCGATGGCGAGCGGTGCGGTGAGCGAGCCGACGGAGAGGTGCAATGTGCTACACGACTGCCCATGTCGTCTCGGAGATCCAGGGCTTCCGAGGCAGCGGGCGCGCGAGGCGGAACGCGTCCTTGGCTGCCTGGAACACCAGCGTGTTGACCTGTCAAGAAAGTCGTCGATGAGGGCGGACTGCGGCATGGGCGCGGCGAGGAGTGTCTCGCGGACGGCGTCGACGAACCCGGCGTGGGCCATGTGAGTTTTGTCCAGTTTTAGGTTCGTGAATTGACTACAGGCGGTCCAGCGGACATCCTGCCCAAATCTTCAAAACTCCTTCGGCCGGAAACTCAAACTCCAAAACAATGTTAAAGAATCTTGAATGGGGAACTCAACGCCCAAGACAACCTGAGATAATCTCAAACACAAGCCTGGGGAAAACTCACACACAGAAGAATCTACGGGAAATCTTGAAGCCGAAACCTGGGAAACACCTAAACCTTAAAACAACTTAGAAACAACTTGAAGCGGAAACCCGGAAGAAAAAAAAATATAAAAAACGGAAGGTTGGTTTAGAGTTTGTTCATTAAGTTTTTTTCCATAGTTTTTTTTTTTTCCAGAGTTGGTCCAGAGTCTTTTTGAGTTTTCAGTCGTTTAGAGTTTTTTTTAACCAGAGTTAGTTTTCAGAGTTCTTCTGGAGTTTTCAGTCGTTTAGAGTTTTTCCAGAGTTTTGTTTTCCAGAGTTTTGCCGTAGTTTTTTTTGAATTTTTTTCCAGAGATGATTCCAATGTTTCCACAGTTTTTCCCAGGTTCCGGCTTAGAGATGTTCTGGAGTTTTTGTTTGGTTTGAGTTCTTCCCAGGTTTGGGCTTCAGGCTTTTTTCGTATGTTTTTGTGGGTTGAGTTTTTTTCGCAGGTTCGGTGTTTGAGTTTTTTTTTGTTGCTTCAGGATGTCGACCCCCCCCAGGTTCTGGTTTCAAGATTTCCCGGTGTTTTTTTTTCTGGTTTGGGTTTTTTGGCCCGAAGTGGTCGTGGACCGCCTGCAGTCGCAATTCGCGAACCTAAGTACAGTTTCGGCGGCGGCGGGGGCTTCGACGCGGCTGAATTGGCGGCCCGGCCGACAGCGACGATTGCCGACGCCGCAAGGCGGTCCAGCCACGATGCGAAAGTCAAGTCCACGTCAGAGTGGACGGTCACGTTGCGCAGGCACCATGCGTATATCTATATATATGTACATATACATATATATATACACACATACATACATCCATATATGTATATGTGCGTACGCACATATATATATATATACTTCCGCAGGCACCCTGCGAGTTCCTCCCTCGACGAAGAAACTCCATGGTAGATTCGCGTCGCGTCGCGCTCCGGCCAGCGGCGACCCCGCCGCCAGCGTTCAACGCGAAGCGTCGCTGGGTGGACCAGAACCGTTCGATGTTGGACGATCTGACGTGTCGAAATTGTTCGATCGTTCAAGGTTGAACGATCTCCGCGGTGTCAGAAGCCAGCGCCCATGCCGTCACGACGCGAACCTGTGGTTCACCAACATGGGCCCTAGCATTGGGGATCCTAAGCATGGCGAGCCAATTTCGCAACGCGCGCGCCCGGCGCGGCGCTCCTGGCACGGCACTGCGCGCGGGCGCGGTGCGGGCGCGGCACGGTGAGCCATGGCGCGCGGGCGGCGCGCGGGCACGGCGCGGCGCGCGGCAACGGAGCGGCGCGCGGGCGCGGCACGGCGCGGGGGCGGCACGTTTTTCACATTCTTTGGAAGCCGGGCCCGGCACGGCACGCGGGCGGCGTTTGTTTCGCATCATCGAGTCCAGACGCATTATCTTGCAGCAGCGCAGATGGGACCCCGACGGCATTCGTTGGCTGGGGAAGCGCGAGCATTTAACGTCGGAAGGTCCCTGCGCCGAGGATCGAATATCGACGTTTCGGGCCGCCCTACTTAGCGCGGGGGGGGGCTGTGAACAAAACGAATGAAGACAGCGCCAATATGCCGTGTTATGCCATGCTATTATTCTGTCTACGTTACGCTATGCTGCGCTATTACTTGCCCCCCCCCCCCCCCCCCCTCCCAGGAACTCCGAGCATTCGCGCGCGCGC